ATTTCGGGCCCTTATGTAAATTTATACAAACAAATATATTCGATTTAAATTCGTAAAAATTTGTTTCATTTCCTATGTGTAACAATTGCGAAAGGAACTCTGCAATAGCAAAACTGAGACTGGACAGTTAGCATAATTCCTAAGTTTATTATTTAATAAAAATCGTGTATTTGTCAGCAATCTGCACAGGGTGATTGTGAAATCGACTGTAAACAAAATACACGTTTTGCGAGTATAATGTTAGAAAATTAACCCCTTTTACCATTGACTTACAAATAAATGGACGACGGGTCTAATACAAAAACCACGAAAAAAATGTCCCAAGTCAACCTATTCGAAATTTAAATTGTACTGTCAACGCAGTATCGCGCTGTCAGTAGAACAAATGAAGACTAAAGCGGAGTTTGGCGCTCTGTATACCATTTTAGCGCCTTACAAGTGCGGACACTTTTTAGCGCGGACCCGACGTCCATATAATTGTAAGTCAATGCCTTTTACAAAATATTTAATATCAAATTCAAATTTCAGATAATTTGTTTTAAACGCAATTTGTAAACTAAGTCTGTGATAGTGATTTGAAGCTTTGTAAAAGCATAACAGTATTCTAAAATGAACGAGAATAAATTATGAACAATTAAATACAATGTATAAAAACGTATTGTACCTACTATGTTGTTTGTGTAAGAAATGGAATTGTATAAAATTTATTGATATTTTTATAGAATAAACCAAATTATTGAATCTCATTGTAGCGTATAATGTGGTACAAGTAAAGAGTATTGCATATCTTCCCTAGAATGATATAGTAAGCGCCAATCCTTTACAGAAAGCTCTCCAAAAATAATATATGGGTACTTTATACCGAATATTCAAACAAGATCCTGAACTGTTTTAAACTTTCACGATTTTCACACATTATTTGATTTTAAATTCGGGACTTAGTCGTGTATAATACGTCTTTTATTTACCTCGACGTTTCGGACGTACTGCAACGCCCATGGTCTGGAAGGGTGTCGAGGGAACGTCGAAGTAAATAAAATACGTCTTATACACGATTAGGTCCCGAATTTAAAATCAAATAAGATCCCAAACGTTTGGTACATTGTCCCAAGAAAATTTAAACATCCATTGTAAACGCCGTACCAGCTTTTAAAATTTATTTAGGTATCTTCTAAATTAAGTAAATAAAAATAATTTAGGTTTGTCCTAGACTTGGCGCTTTCGATGTTCTTGCACGAAATAAAAAATATATATGCAGTCTTAACTTGTGCTGATACGTATAATTGTACTTTTAAGTGATAAAAATCATCACAATATTTTAAATACATGAAAATTTCATTGAATAAATTGTTTTCAAATACTAGTAAATACAATGTGTATTACAAAGGTAAAGTAAAACTTTTAGGGACATTTCATTTATATTCCCGATTTGTATGTACATAGTGGCTGTGTTCTATGCAAAAAGTATGAAATTACATCATCTTACACGCCTTTTCCATGTAGCATAGACTTTTACGTACTACAATCTCAGCATATACATAGGTGCCTACGGATTTGCTCGATTTTTTGACGATCAGCACGTGTGATCAAACAAAATCGAGTAATGTGTAGACAAGAAACGATCCACGTCGTATTTTTGTCGAGTGACACGCGTAACCGAACAAAATCGAGTCAATATGTAAGCAACATACGATCGACATTGTATTTTTTGTCAATCAGCATTGTAGAATTAAAATTAGGCATAAGTGCCTACAAATTTGTTCGGTTTTAACCTTGACACATCGATGGCTAACAGTCTTAACTGAAATATTGAACGTCAGAACACGGGGCATATTAAGCGACAATAACGAGCGCCAAAAATCGTGAGCACCTATTGATCGTCAAACCACACTACATCGGCAACAATAACGACCGGCGATCGCCAAATATTGAACAAATCTGTAGGAACCTTAGAATTTTCGTTTTCGTCTCTTTGTACTTTGGTTGTATTCGGCCGGTTCCTCTACCATTATGAAGTAGAATAAGCACCTAAAGTTTTATATGACCTTTGTGTACATCCAGTATATGGAATTAGACTAACATTGGCCTTACTTTAAAGGGATTGTTATATTGAGTATGTACATTGAGTTGAACGTACTATAATGACCAAAGATGAAGTCAAGAATCAATACGATATGATTCACTTATTTCAAAATGTGTTATGTTAATTAATTACTATGAAGTATTTCAAATAAATTAATGATTATTTTATTCGGTTTTATTTGTTAACTTGTAGCTGGACCTTTGTTGTAGAGGTGAAGGGTGCTGCGTTGACACTTTTAAGCAACGGAGAATCTGTTGTAATCCAGTAATGATGAAAAAGAAATCAGGGAAAGAATCGTGAACGGCACGACCACAAAATTTTACTCTTTAGGTATTTGCGCTTTCCTTTTTTTTATTAAAAAATAAGTGCGCATTTGACTTCCATCTCACCTGATGGAGAGTGACGATGAAGTTAACGATGGAGCATGCACACCTAAATAATACCTATTCATTCTCGCCTTGAAAAGGTCCAAGTTATATATAACGTTCAGTGAACAAGTCTGCAGGCAGAGAATTCCACTCCATAGGCGTTCGCCGTATAAATGTAGAAGCGTATGTCAGGTTCAGGTCCCCCGATGATGAAAGGGGAAGGCGGAATGAATTCGTGTAATTCCCTCACACACTCTCCGTGATATATTCTGTAGAAACCGATAAGCAGGCAACTTTACGGCGGTGTTCAAGGCTCTGCAACATCGCCTTTACTAATTCCGAGTCACCTATAAGCCTCTTGGCACGCTTGTCGATTGAATCAAAGGCGGCCAGTTGGTATGTAGCAGAGCCATCCCATACGTGGCAGCAGTACTCGATACACGACCGAACTTGTGCTTGGTACAGCTGAAGCAACTGTCCCGGTGCGAAGTAGCGCCTCATCCTGGAAAGGATGCCAAGCTTTTTGGCTGCATTTTTGGACATGGTTTCTATGTATCTGCCGAAGTTAAAATTGGACGACAGGTCCATTCAAAGTAGCCGGAGACAGTTGGCTATCGGTATGGGTATATCACGAAAACTCGGAGTTAGCTCAAAGGGACTCCGTTTTGTGGAGAATAGACACGCTTCCGTTTTGATAGCGTTCAATTTGACAAGATTGGCATCGCCCCAATCGGAGACAGCCTTAAGTGTCAAATCCAAACGACTAACCATGGACTCTCGACAAAACCGGACTATGGTGCCATCAGCATACGCGATGGTATTAACACATCATTGATATGCAGCAGAAAGAGAGTTGCAGTATGGAACCCAGAGGAACTCCGGCAAATATCGCCCGATGTTCGGAAGAGTAGCCTTCTAAGACCACCCGAACCGAAAGTTCCCTCAAAAAATTCGAGATCCAATTGCAAAGGTCATTGGGAAGCCCATAAGAGGCAAGCTTGCTTAAAAGGCTTGCTTGCCAGCCCTGTCAAAGGCTTTAGCAATGAGCTCGACGAATCTCCTGAAGTAAAGCATGCCTGACAGGGATATGAAGCAACCTAATGGCGCATTGCATCCTAATCTGCCAACCTGTCTCATACCACTAGGGCCCTGCTCGGGTACGGATACAGCTTTCATCAGACAATGGTCGGAAGTTCCTAATGGGGCACCCACAACCACTGAGTATCGGTCTGGATCAGTTGTTAACAGAAGATATTAGCAATTAGCCATACGAGACTCAACATCTCGGATCCTTATGGCGCTACTTAGTAGCTGGGAAGGGTTTAGCGTCAACGCAACTTTACGCGTCTCTCTCCCAGCATGATCGGTCATCTGATATGGGAACAACCATTCTTGATGGTGAGCATTGAAGTCCCCCAGAATGACTAGCTGCGCCGCAGGGTACCTTTGTTGTTGTTTATATGATCTCGAGTACGCATCTCTCGCATCGAACTTAAACTTGACAAATATCCAAATTTATACGTTTTAACTTGTTAAATCAGTTTGGTTTACGATAACGAAAATACGAACCGTGTCTTGAAGGGCGATACGTTCGATCAGGTGGCTATTCACCGAAGTTCCTCAAAAATATGTTTTGTCTGCTATAGCTTCTACAACATTCTAGCAGCCCAATCATGTCTAAGATACTAATTACAAGCTGATTTATGTAAAAAGGTCATTGAATATAACAAGCTGCTGAGCCAGGAGCATTAATAGATATTACACAACATGTCTGTTGCTCTGATCTTAAAGTAAGTAACTATAAGCCCTAGTGTTATGAAAATCGGAAACAACAACGTTAGAAGAAACATCCAAACCCCGAGACAATATGGAAAAGTTAGTTTTTTTTCCACATTGCCGTAGCCGAGAACCCGAGACCTCAGAATCGGCGCCACATTGAAAACCGGCATGTAAGGCACTCGACTACAGAAGTCGTTATAGCATAGTTATAGGCACCACGATACCTATTGCCGCCTTTCTCTCCACGTCTGACGAACTAGCAGAGATCAGGGTTGGCACCCTTAAATAGTACATATACCAGCCATACGCCCATTCACTGAAAGAGTGGAGTGGATTTCTCTGCCTACAGTTTGGTTTCGGAATAAATATATCGACTACATTTTCAAACCTGGCAACCTCCATTAATGTGAACATTTGAGTAGGCACAGAAAACAGAATTACCTACTAGTAATAATTATGTGATAATCTATGATATCTAAAAAGGGGTGACAAATTATAATATTTCAAGCTTTAATTACCCGACATTGCGCTTGAAGAATAAAAAAGGCATTTCGTCCAAAAATGAAGTTACGTTTAGCCAACAAAACAATTGGTCAAATTCAAGAATTAAACCAAGTAAGCATGTTCTATCCTCTTTACACACATCATTAGTGACTATAATTAAAAATGACGTGTACAATTTTGTGAATTAAAAAGGATAGAAATAAAACATTAGATGATGTTAAATCATGTTTATTATACTAATCCTAAAAGTTGCAGTGAACATAACAAAGTTTCATTTGTTACAGTACTGTTTATGAGGGGAGAAATTGACTTTTTGGTAACAAACTTCATCCATCAATATAATACATATTACGTATGACTACATAAGAAATATTTTAGAAATAAAAGTCTAGGTTAAAATTATAGAACAATAATTTGAAACAACAAAGCAAATAAATTAACACCAATGTTTATAAAGTGCAGTACATGGTCTGTGCCAGATAAAAATAATTACTAAGTTCAATAACCCAATTTTATCTTAGCGGCGATACGTTCATTAAATGAAAATGACTGCTTTTCCTTATTCCATGGATAAAAATATTATACAAATAAAATGCGAGGTGTATACTACCAAGTTATATGATCTGGGGGATTTGATATAGCAAAATTGAAATATTTTACACCTATCTCATAACCTTACTTACAAATTACAGTAAAAAAGAATTTTGTTTGTCATCATTACAGTGAAATGAATACCTAGAGCTTTTCCTTTACACATGTTAGAATTATCAAGAGTTAAGTTATAAATTCGAAGCTATGAGACTCAATCAACACTTAGTTTATCTGATACACACATTCAAAGCTTGTATTGATATTTAACATCATTTCAGCACAATGAACTGTACAAAATATGAAAGAATTATTGAAATTGGAAATGTTTCAGTCATTTCTAGTACTAGGTATGGCCTCAAATGTCCACAACCACAACTTATTGTTATATCTGTCCATAATATAATTCATAATAAACCATGGCTGTATGTATTCACTGTGACTTGATAACAGTTCTTACATAATTATTTTTGTATCACTCTTTTCACAATAACAACCGTGTTGAGGCTCTGTTCAAGTGTATTAAGTGGGGTTTTTAACTAGTTCAATCATGACCATTTGTCTTGGCATGTGGGACTGTTCCATTGACTAATGGAGCAGCCTGAGGTTGTCTGAGTGTCTTTTGTAGCACATGTGCATCAGCAGGTTCTATCCTCTTGTAGTAGTGTTCTTTCGTCTCTACAATCTCAAACCCAAACTTCTTGTAAAAATCTATTGCACCTTCATTGTTTACTTGGACATGTCTGGAACAACATAAAATAGATTATTTTTTCAAGCTACGCTACTGGAGTATGTATAAAGTTGAATTTGTGCACTATTATCATTGACTAGATTGCATGTAAATTATTAATAACATAAAATCTTTACTTTATGATTCAAATATTCTCAAAATTAATTCTTTAATCACTGGTTGTCAGGCTTATTGAAAACACTTATTTGCTTGATCTAATAAAGATAATCAGATTGTGTTATTGTTACAAATATAGCTCCATTCAAGAGCACCAAACTAGCAGCTCTTAATATAGACACAGTACACATGTTTTAAAAGAGTTGCTCATGTCACATTCAGTCTGACCATGAGGCTACGACACCTACTATAATGTAACTGTCTTTTTTATGTCAAAAAGCCAAAAGCATCTAATTAAGGTAGTAACACAGCAACATAACCTCTAAAAGTATTGAATGACTCTCACATCAAAAACAATGGAAAAATTTGTATTTTGACTATAAATTGTACATAAATGTTAGAACAACAGCTTGAAAAATATACTTACAAGAAAATGCTGTCAAAATTACCGTCCTGTTCAACATATTTGAGCACATGTTCCACCATCAAAGTACCTATACCCAGTCTTCTATAAGGGTATAAACAACCAAGGGTCATAATGTACAGTCTCCGTGAATTATCGGATGTGTCTATTCTACAACACACGGCTCCAACCACGATATCGTTGTAGTAAGCTAACTTCGCTAATTCTCCAGCCTCAAGAACGTCCTTGTAAAATTTGTCATTGTATGACACGGGAAACACGACTGTATTTAATTTCTTCAGTTGCTTTATATTATGCGGAGTCACATCGCCGAGTTCTATTTTAGCTCTGAAACGGTAAATGTAATCGTTTGTAGACCAATTCGTCTCCGAAACCCAATAACATTACAAAGGCTTTCATCACTGTTTTTTTACGTGCAATATTCATGTGGTATTTTATAGAAATGTCATAAACAAGACCCTAGCTTACCTAGTCATTTTATTAACTATTTTATAATAAACACTAAAAATTTTAAAACTAAATCTAACACAGTTATATCACACGAGATCACTCCCGCCATCTACCATTGCTCAATTCATTTTTCGACAAAATTTTGACACCCATTGGACAGTGTAGTCACTTTTTGCACTTTACGTTCTTGCATACACTCAGATCAATGATAAGAATTTGACAACATTATCTAAAAATACCATAAAATTTATATGTATGTGCAGTAAACTAACAAAAAATTTAGCTTTCTTAACTACCGCTCAAAATGTGTTATTTATGAAATTTATAAGATACTTGTATGTATGTAACGTTATAATAGCTAACGCATTTTGTACTAAATAGTACCTTGATTATCATAATAGCAACATTTACTCATTCATTTAAGTACGTTTAAAAAATATAAAAAAAAAAGGAAGTGCATGGTAATTTTTGAACGAATATTTGGTAGAAATCGAAAGAGTTTAACTATTACGTAGTTCAATGTTATTCACATTATTAAATATATTATGCATTATATTATGATATTGATAACACGTAAGATGTTAATGTATACATAGTAACGTAAACACTGTGTCAGTCTTTAAGTTAAAAAAAAGTGTTATTGTTCATGAATAAAAAATGGCGCTAGCGGCAAATTCAAATAAATTAGCATTCTTCTGTTCCCATTCTCTGTCAATGTCAAATAATTTGATACAAATATAATAGGAAAAAATAAAAATAAACTTTAAACATGCTGCAAAATGTACTGACGCGTATTTCACACCTTATAAGGTTTAACAACTCAACATATCTCAGAAGATATTATGGGTGGAGTAAGGTTGCTAGGATGTCGGCAAAACTACAAACTCGAGAGGATTCAAAATCGGATACATGCCCTCTCGATCCGCCGATAATTGGACAAATATTTCCAACTACTCGTGTAGTTCCGATGGTGTTGACGAAGGAACCTGTAGTTCTGCCATTCGACGATGTGCCTGGACCTAAAAGTCTGAAATTATTTGGTCTTACGCGGTACTATCTCTCTGAAATCGGAACTCAACTTACCGCCAACCTTCTTACTTTTGGATTCAACTTTGGTGAGTTTTAACAAATAAGTAGGTAATATCGCATATTTAATACGCTGCCCAGTTTCCATAAATGAAATGTACATCATTGCTCTACTTGATTTATAAAAATGTTGACACAGGCATCCTTAAATAAATTTTGGATCATGATCACTACACCTAATCATTTCTGAAAATCATATAACAATTATAATTTATTTTATAGGTACTTTTGTAAGTCACCGGCAACCTCTTCGGTACCTCACAGCCTTATTCGACGAATACGGTCCTGTTGTCCGCTTCGTGAGCCCTATAGGACGAGATATAGTCTTGATCAATAATCCTGATCACATTCAAAAAGTTTACGCCATGGAAGGCGACCAGCCTGTCAGGTCTACTCTTGACAGTTTGGAGAAGTATAGGGCAGAGCACAGACATGCTCTTGGAGGCTTATTCAATACGTTAGTACTGTATAGAAATTTGTTGTTAACTTTGAGCTTATTAGTTAATAAGCAAGTTATTAGATGTCCTGTATTTCATTATGACAAAGTCCATTGCATTCCTCACAGGATGGGCGGTATAAAATGGATATCCTGTTCGAATGTACGTTAATATTGCACGGGGCGTAGGTAATGAGTTGGGGTACCTTCCTTAATTTTGTTCCCTATCGATTGTGTTATTTAGACAAGTCCTGAATACTTATAGTATAAATGTATACCTATTAATGACTACCAATTAATACTACCAAACTACAAATAAATGTATATTTATTAATTACTAGCAAACTACAAATAAATGTATACCTATTAATACTACCAAACTACAAATATTATGACACTAGAAATTAATTGCAGGTAGGTACTCGGAATATAAACAAGTTCTTGTTACAGAAATTAAAAATCTCACCAACATCTAAATTGAATTAATAATAATCTTTAATAATAAGCACTTAACAAGCCTACCTATATGAAACTTGAAAGTTCGCAAACAGATCTCACGTTAGAAGAAACTTTCCTGTGTAGTGTCGGCTACTTGTTAATTCGAATTTGTTAAAATTTAGTCATGGAGTGGATTGGAACCGTCATCGGACGTTAGTGGATGAACCATTGAACAAGTCTCTCTCATCGCACCTGCATGGTCTTTTTGATGTATGCGAGAGCTTCACCCAGAAGATTTACAACTTTAGAAACCATCATGATGAAATTAGCAAGGACTTGTACCAAGAGCTTCATAAGTGGTCTTTCGATTGCATGGGTTAGTTTAAACACATTAAATTTAAATAATCTTTACGAAACTAAATGAGTATTAGACTTATGAATTAATAGGTGAAGCCGTGGTAGACTAATGGTTTGACCTACCACCTCTTAAGCAGAGGTCGTGGGTTCGATTTCGCTCTCGCACCTCTGAGTTTCTCGGAACCTTTGTGCGTTTTTTATTAATTTGAAATTATTAATTTAATTTGAAATACGATGAGCTTTTCGGTGAAGGAGAACATCGTAATGAAACCTGCACGACGAAGAAGGTTCACAACCTTCGGAAAACGTGTGAAGTCCCCAATCCGCATTGGGCCGGTGTGGCGGACTATGGCCTAAAGCCATAATCTGTGAGGAGACCCGTGCTCAGCAGTGAGAGGTATAAATGGGTTGGTGATGATGAAATAATGATCAAGGGTATTCAATGATTCTCATTACCATCTGCTGGAAGGTGTTTTTAGAAATTTAAAATTAAAAAAAATGTGTAACATATTCAATATAACGAATGCCACTACTTCCTGTCTCGAGCAGATAATAAAAAAGTATCGAGCCTGTGTGTATACTAGACTGTTCCATGTCTGCTATTAAAGAAAACATAATACTTGTTTACTTAAATATACATTAAGCGTGAAACACACAGAGAGCGAGTGCGGGTCGCGTCGGGACAGAGGCCGTGTATTGATTTATACGGGCAACAACACTTCACTTCACAGGGAATTCTGTTCCGAAATTCCGTTTCGGAATTTTAATTCGACATTCCGTAATACATCACATACATACGTTTATTTCCATTCGGAATAATAAGACTCAGGATCGTATTCCAGAACTCTACTCAATGCTCACTTGAGCATTGAGTAAAGTTCTGGAATACGACTCTCAGTTTAGAGTCGCGAGGTATTAAGTGATGTTCTCGCAGCGAAAATACGTAAGAAATTTGCGACTGTGTGTTGCGGCCCTACAAAATCTGTGGAAGACTTGCGCATTCCGAACGGCTTTTTCCGTGCTGAATTCCTAAATGACCGCACGGAATTTAGAATCGGAAAAAAATTCGAACGGAATAGTACTGTATGTGTGTTATAAGTCCGTGATTTGTATAGTTTTGAAACGGGAGTCCGACTGTATGTGACCAGCCTTAGAAAGAAATATTTAGCCTTCTATTCTACTGCTAACTTGTCAAAAATAGGTAATTTTACTGTATTCGGTGCGCAACTTTGTCCCTTTTGTTACAGGACTTCTAATATTTTCTAAGAAATTTACGATGCTGAATACAGACTTAATTTACAGCCAATGCGATATGTCGTGGCTGTACCATAGTTTGAAGATGTCTTCTGAGGCAATAGTAAAGTGTGAGTCGGGCATGCATATGTGGAAGCTGTTCCCGACGCCCACTTGGAATTCGCTCGTTAAATATTGCAATAATCTGGATAAGTGTGTGACTTTTTATGAATTTTGGGTAGTTCTCATTTTTTTATGGAACTATGTTGTCATGAGAAAGGGATTGTATTTTTTATAATTTATTCTATAAAACTATTTTTAATCCGATCTCACTTATTATGGGAAGAAATCTATTAGCCTAAATTCCATGTGACGTTTGACACAGAGGTGGATACTTTCAAATTATAAAAAAAAAATATTGAACAAACAATTTAGCAAACAATATAATTAATACCTGTTTATTACATGGACTAAGTAAGAATAAATTATAACGACACCTTTCGTCCAATTACATCAATCACAGTTCCACGAATGTAACAAATCTACGATAAAATGATAGGATCTAAGTAAAACTTGGGGTTTTCCAAGTTTTTTGCTTGATACAGCTTTAAACGCAAATTGATCATCGTAATGATTACAAAAAATGTCTTATATCCAAACCCGAGACTAGTTTTTTATCCAGTTCCAGTAGGTACAATCTATGTATCTGTCAATAGTAGATTTTACCACTTCATAATCAAAAAGAAGACGACTAGGTACCACGAATTCTTACATTCTGTCTCTATCAATTCATGAGTTTACCGTGAGTTGTTGTTGTTCCTAACAGTCGTGTACCTAAAATATTGAATTTGAATTTGAATTTGAATACCTCGTCATTCTATACAATACCGGGTTCTTTAGGCAATGTAACAAAATAGTTAATATTTTTAACTGTTATACACATTGCCTAGACATTGTATTCATACCAAGCCAAGGTATTATATGGAATGTCAGCCGTAGATTTGGAAAAGTATTAAATGAAAGACAAAGTAATGAAAATAGTCATTTCTATTTGCGTTTCCAAGCTGGTGCGAACCCCTTCAGTGGGTTCTGGAGGTCTACTCTCGATCTCCGTCTGACATCCGTCCGAAACAATTACTGCCAAATAAGCAATACTTGACCAAATGAAAAGACGCGTGATGCGAATAAAACTTCAAACTTGATACTTGTCTTTTAATTTTGTCGAATATTACTTATTTGACAATAATTGTTTCGGACCGATGTCAGACGGAGATCGAGAGTAGACCCCCAGGTCAGTGTAGCATATGAAAAAGCTATGAATACAAAATTATTACTCTTTCTTGTGACCACTAAGGGCGCACTAATTTTGAAACTTCGTGACTAGAACCAACTAATTCACGACTTTTTCTGAGTGCAATTTGATCTAAGCTAGGAGCTGTGGTTCTCGACATTCAAAAATGGTGCCGCCGGAATAAGCTTATTCCAGCAAGGACAGTAAAACACCCATAAAACTTTTGAACGGCGGACGACTAAATCTAGTTTTTTGCATCTAGAACCGACGAAATAGCGACTTATTATCTGGCTAGTAAATATCAAAAACTCGATCATGGTCACGCTGGAATAAAGCACGCTCTTTGTAGCGGTTTAGACGAGGACCTAAAGCGAGGAAACGCGGGGGGCATGTGAATTGCCTTATATGTTGGAAACTATGTCCGGACGTTGTCTCGGGGCATTGCGACCGGCATCTCCGGCCCTAGTAAAGCTAGTAGAGGATGAGCTAGACATCCTCCGGTCCCCCCAGCCGCGTTAGTTTCTAGGAACTTGAGACCCGCACGCTCGTTCTAGTCATAGTACCCTTCGTGTATACCCTAAGGGTCGGTAGGGAAGGTCAATATAATCAAAATTAATGTAGAAAAATATGGAGCTGTGTAGGGGAGAGCGGGGCTGAACGTTCCGATTTTCAAATAACTTGCTATTTTTTATACTGAATGTGAAGGATTTGATTTTGAACATTTGGAAATGTTGAACAAATGTTTATCGCTTTTTGTAATAGTATAGTCACTTCTACTAATATCTCAATAGTCTTTTTCATAAAGGCTAATTTTTGACAAATTTCGGAGCGGAACATTCAGCTTCGCTTTGGGGCACGTAGTTCCGCCTTTGAGGCAAATTGTTCCGCCTAGATAATGACAGAATTACAAAGATTTTCTTAAATAAAACCACCTATTTTATAATTGTACGTATGTAATGTTTATATTATGCACAACTAACTTAAAAAGAAACAACTATATTCTTATTCATCAGTAATATTATTCATCGCTCATTTCTTCATCTCAATCACAGTTGAAACACACATAAGTGACTCTATCATTATGAACAAACGCAATAACTGCCTCCGTGGCCGGACTGTCACGCAGAGGCCCCAGGTTCGATTCCCGGGCCGGGAGAAATATTTGTATGGCCTACATTTATTTCTCTCGTGAGTTTGGGTGTAATTTGTGGTTGTCTATGTGTGTGTCCATGGCACCCGCGACACAGGGTTTCCCTAGTGCGGGGCTATGTTGAGTGTGTGCGTTATTATTATTATTATTATTATTATCATCTTGTCTAAATATTTGACATGAGTCCGTTTGTAATTTGGCATCCTTAAAACAAAGAAAAATGATCATAAAACTTTTAAGTGTGATTGCAGGTCAATTGGGGAAGTTGTTCCTAGAAACAACCAGCCCCTCGAGGAAGGTACTTATAGCCTCAAGTTACGTTTTTATACGAAGACTGACATACCGGAAAAGTAATAGAATCAATCAAAAAAGCACTCGTACTCAAACAATAAGATTCCTTACTAGTTAATGTCACTACAATTTAGAAAAGTTACGTATGAATCGGCCCATAATAAACAAAGACAGACCAAAAAATATAAACAAGAAAAAATTTACTTACGTGATATTTTGACAGCTCCACGCACATAGCCACACACATAGCCACACTGGCTGCCGGCAAGACGCATCACCTGACGCTTTAACGACGCGCTTCACATGTATTGCTGCATATTTTTCTTGCAAAGTTATTGCTGTGAGAACAACTTACTCCGGGAACTACCAGCCCCGGTCTCTCCTACGTGTACCCGAAGCCGCTCAACCGAGACACTAGCCTCTTGAGGTGAAGTCTGTGACAACCCTGTCCACGGGCTAATCTAGTGTCAGGACCTGTAGGGCTAGCACGACAGAGCGACATAAAGCGCGGGATTTGTATGGAAGATTAGCAATATATCACGTTTCATGTCGCTCTCGCGCAAGTTGCGCCCTATTGTGCTAACCCTATTGAAGTTATAAGGTCCCATGTACTTGTACAGATGCCCGCATAACCAGAGGTTGATGGGGTTAATTAGAAAGATATGTGACTGCTGGGTTCATATTGACGCTTGAAATGGAAAATGGGATAAGCGACACTTTGGGTCATATTGAGTACCTAATATATACCGTAGGGATCGGAAACATTACCAGATTCCAACGGTATGAGTTATCTCAATATGTCCAAGTGTCGCTTGTGCCATTTTGCCTTTCAAGCTTCGATTTGAAATTAGAAAATTTATTTCATTTACCATTTCAGTTTGATAGGCAAGCATGTATTGGAGGCAGAACAAAAAGTTGCTATGGCCGTTAATGAAGAACAAGGTAAAATGTACTTCATCACTTTATATTGACTTAATATAGTGTTTTCTATTATATGTTCCATTTCAGCCGACTTTGTGAATCGTAATAACTATTCTGTTGCAGCTACAAATACGTTGATAGGTTGCATGTGTAGTGGTAAAGAAAAATTGCGACCGGAGGACATAACCACCGTGTTAATGGACATGTTACTAATTGGAGTCAACACGGTAGCTATTCACTACAAGTGCTGAAAAAGTTACATTAGGATGTCATTATCCTAATATAACTTATTCAGCAGCTGGAACTATTGTTTTAATAGTACACTATCTATAAAATTAGCTACTTGAAATTCCGCAAAATAAAACTTACTTGAATTTCAGTGTTTACTTTGTGAATTAGCAAAACATTCACTAATGAGCAGAGTATATAATATACCTATACCTAAACTTCAGAGTAAACACTAATTTTATTGCATATTTTTTGTGTAACTAGCACTTACTTTACTACTACCTACTCGTATTACAGGTATAGATGTAATTTCTTCTAAATACACTTATTCAGAAAACAAATAACTATTCGATATTTAGATTTTTAATCGTCCGGGGATTTTAATTTTGTCTTATCTACTATATATTTATAGTACTTGAAATTTAGATAAAGACTTATATTTTATCTATTACGATCTCTGCTAATTAGACGCGATTTTTTTACAGATCACATCAGCAACGTCATTCATGTTGTATTTTCTGGCCAAGCACCAAAAAGCACAAAAATTACTCTATCAAGAAATAGACAAAGTTTATAATGACGATTCAATACAGGATGTCATAAAGATAGCTGAAGGCATGCCTTACATGCAGGCTTGCATAAAGGAGACCTTAAGGTAACTTTTAGCACGTTAATGCCTCATCGAAGCCTAGATGTTATTCAGTAAACTATTTGTTTCTTGCAGATTAGTGCCTCCAATCCCAATCCTGACTCGAATTTTGCCTAAGAATATAACGTTGGATAGATACAAGTAAGTATAATTAGTACAGAGTACTAAAAAACTGACCTCAAAAGTCATTCATACCTTAGTTTACCACTCTTAGAGGTGGAACATTTTCTTATTTAAATAACAGTCGAATTGAGAACCTCCTTCTTTTTTCAAGTCGGTTAAAAACTATAATTTCAGTTGTAAATAAAGCTCAACTCACACTGGCGCAGAGTCGAAGCGTCGCGACGCGTCATGTTTTTCGCCTATAGCATATTCATCTCTATTCTCCCATTATTAAGGTACAAATTTGTCAAAGTCAAAGTTAAATAATCATTAATTATTTAAAATTAATTATTTAGTAAAATTTTTATACTTGACAACGTCATTTTTTAAACTACTGCTCGTTCACTACGCTGACCTCCCTGAGAAGAACGACGAAGAAACTCTAGGGATTGCTCTTTTCAAATAAACTTAAATGCAATAGAATACATTTTGGATCATATTTGTGTGGAATCTAGACTCACGTTGTCTTTCCATACATTTTTATCTAACACGTAGTCTATTTTGTAATATGACTTCACAATTAAAATGGTAATCTTAATATATGCTCCGGAATCTTATTGTAAAAACGTATACAGTTACCCAAAACAGAATCGTTTACCTGTTAAACGAAAACGTGGTACCATGAGTTTGGATTTAGTTCTAAGGTTAATATTAGGGGTTAAAGTATGAAATTGCCGTTTTATTGCAATAGGTTCTTTGAATTTTCATAGAATCTTCATGGTTTGAGGTTTTCGAATGAAACTTTTTCCAAATGGTTTCTGTGATTTTTTTTTTTAATTTGAAACATTTGAATATCGACTTTCAATTGTTTTTGTTATTCAATTTAGACAAGAAAGATGGATACTGCGAAAATTCGAGTGATTTTTGAATAAGAGTTCCGACGCGGAACTAACGCGGCAGAAACAGCCCGCAATATCAATGCTGCGTTTGGAGAGGGGTCTACTAAGTAATGAACGCACCGTGCGATTTTGGTTTAAACGCTTTCGTGATGGAAATTTCGACTTAAAGAACGAGCCACGAGGAAGACCGCCCACACAGGTGAATAACGATGAATTAAGAGAGATAGTGGAAGCCGATCCTAGTCAAACTACCCAGGAATTAGCGGCATGGTTTAACGTTACCTTACCCACAATATTGACTCACTTGCGTCAAATCAACAGAATAAAAAAATACGAAAAATTGGTGCCTCATGATTTGACTGATCTGCAGAAAGAAACGCGTGTTGAAACTAACCGGTACAGAAATGAAGGAATATTGGATCGAATTGTAATATGTGATGAAAAGTGGATTCTTTATGATAACCGGAAAAGAAAAATGCAATGGCTGACCCCAGGTCAAATGCCACAACAGTGTCCTAAAGCAAAACTTACCAATAAAAAGGTAATGGTAACTGTTTGGTGGTATCAGCATGGTGTTATTCACTATAGTTTTCTCCGATCTGGTCAAGCAATAACGGCAGATGTCTATTGTGCCGAACTCCGAACCATGTTGACAAAACTAGCAGTAAAACAGCCCCGACTCATGAATCGATCTTCACCATTATTGCTCCACGACAACGCGAGACCTCACACAGCACGAGAAACCATTTTGACCCTTCAGGAACTGCAGTTAGAAACCATTCGTCATCCTCCGTATTCACCAGACCTTGCTCCAACGGACTACCATTTTTTTCGTGATTTGGACAATATCTACGTGACAAGAAGTTTTCTTCCCAGGAGGCAGTACAAAATGCTTTCACACAGTTTGTGCAGTCTAGATCGTCGGAGTTCTATCGCAAAGGCATTAATAACCTTCCCATTAGATGGCAGCAATGTATAGATAATAATGGCAACTATTTTGATTAAATAAATTTGTTAAAAATTTAAAAAATAAACAATTTAGATTTTCAGTACAAATCGGCAATTTCATACTTTAACCCCTATTATTATAGATATCTTCTTTCTTAACGAAATTATGTATATTTTTACGGGCATACAAAATATTTCAGTAAATGTACTGTGATGCCACAATCTCCTTAGTCTCCGGTACACAGAACGAATCGCTCGTTTTTGCAACACAAATATGGTTTGTATACTTGCTGCTTTAGCCCACATGAGAATCCCGTAGGACATTATACTATGAAAGTAACTAAAGTAAACTAGTCTAGCAGTAGCAACATCGGTAAGTTCACGAATTCTATGGACTGCGTATGCAGCAGAGCTTAATCTGCAGGCCAAGGAAGGAGTGGAGTTTACTATCTAAGATCATTCCCAAAAAGACAGCTTTAAAAACAAGGTCTAACTTTTCTCTTCATTAGCTAGTCGATTTTACATTAGGTAATTCAAATTTAACACACTTTGTCTGCTTGGCATTGAGCAACAAGTTGTTAATATTCAATCAATAAACTACCTTTGGAAGGGTATAATTAATATTGTCATAGTTAACGTCATGTCTGTCTGTTTTAAAAATCAAGGCTGTGTTGTCAGCAAACAACACTAGCGGACTGTATCAATGGGTTAAAGGTTGGGTGCTAAAACGAGTGAGCAAGGCCAAGCAAATGTACTTACAGTTTAATAATTTTCTAACAAAACACATATGTCGCTATCAAAGCAAAACAGCAAACAAACTAGTCAGAAAAAGGTGCCAAAAACAATCACGTTTAAATTTAGAATTTGAGTATAAAACTAGAACTCAAAGAGACTATAAAATATATACAAAAGAGATTTGTAGCGACTGCTGCGATTCGCTACATCGTCCGGGCGGAGAAAAGGATGGGGCCACCTATATGTAGTGAGCTCACTGCCAGGGTAGAATTGGGCGATAATTACCAACTCCTACATTCAGGCGTGTTTGGGGAGGTCGGCTTTGAAAAGTGGTTACCCAGGCGGAGAGGTTTCTTCCACTCTACCCTGCGTAGGTCAAGGTTATGGTCATTTAATCCTAAAATGATTTAGTTGGATGTAGCGCCTAACAAAAATTAAAAGGAATGAGTTGGCGACGTCGGTGTTGGCAACATCGGAGTTGGCACCCATCGGAACAAGTGTTAGGAGATGGCTGTGCACGGTCGCTTTGGCTTCAAGCTGGAGAAGCTCTAAAATTTCTGATTTAGGTGCTTGTCCGACTAAAGTAACCCTTAATGCCGTCTTCACACTTCTTACAAAACGTTCCGAGCATCCTCCGAAAGATGGCGCGACAGGAGGAATAAAACATCACGTCGATCGATGCAGCGCCTCACGACCCATAATCGCGGAGTCAGCTGGCAAGCTGTGAGCAAGTTGCACGTGTAAAGAGCGACATCACGTTTCTCCTAGCGTCTCCCCACTGCTACATCTGTAGGTCCAAAATAGCCTAAGCCAGTACATGAGAAAAGACGTTGATGATGCACTACCCTTTCGTACTGAAAGTCCGCGATTGATCTGACTGTAGTTCTTAAACGTAGAATTCAAAACCTTGACTAAGTTCGTTTATCACAGTTTCGTTGTAGTCGTGTGATGAAAATTAAATATTAGGAGTTTTACGTCTGTCTTTAAGGGATGTGAGGACAAGATTTGTTTCCATTCTTCTTTAAAGGCATCCAGTGAGACCTCCGTACAATAAATGTTCTCTTCTGCAGTGGTTAAAGTCTAATATATGTAGCGGACTGTATCAATGGTTTAAAAGTTAGGTGCTAATAACGAGTGAGCAAGGCCAAGCAAATGTAATTACAGTTTAATAATTTTATTACAAAACACGTATGTCGCTATCAAAGCAAAACAAAAACTAAAGTCAATAAATGGTGCCAAAAACAATCACGTTTAAATTTAGAATAAAAGTATAAAACTAAAACTTAGAGACTACAAAATATACAAAAAAGATTTGTAGCGACTGCTGCGATTCGCTACAAATACTATTTCGCAAAGGTCCTTAACAAAGAATGGTAGATCATTAATATAAATGAAAAATAAGAACGGTCCAAGTATTAAGCCCTGCCGAGGACCCATTTTTACCGGCGAACCCAAAGAAGTCACTGCATTTATGTTTACTTTCTGAATTCTACCGTTAAGATAAGACGAGACAAGTTCCAACGCCTTGCCACTTACTCCGTAATATTCCAATAAGAATAAGAGTAGACGATACACGCATCAAAGATATGTTTTAGTAGTGATCGCTAGTCGATCTACCACTAGCAAACCCATATTGTTCACTATGAAAAATATGATTCGTACCGAAATACGAGTCATCTTTTGATTTAATAAGTTTGCCGTCTAATTCTAGAACTATATCTCAATCATGTTATTTAACCCTGCCTGACTCTTTATTTATTATACTCCAAGCAGTTTTAGACTTATTTTTTGATTGTATAATTTAACGCTGTGAAACTTAACCTTAGCAGCTACACATACTTATTTAAATATTTTTGAATAATTTTTAACATATTCTATAAAACTGGAATTAGTATTTTAAGTTTTCATAGCATGTAGCTCTTACAAAAGAGACCTACTCTTATGAATGCCTACTACTGCCCAGTCATTGAATTTAGTCTACCCGTGGAAAGTTAGTGTTTTCGATCACAACATCAAATTAATTTTTAATGCAATTAAATATCGTGCTATTTATAATATATGTAACTTCCGGTTTATGGGGGATGGGATTTAAACTATTGTCGATATTATTTTAAAATCTAATGATTCGTTCTGTAGTAATCGGTCTGCAGAGAAATTGGTTTACCTACTTGCTCATTTTACAATTAAAGGTAGCCAATTGGCTACTATGGTCTGATAGCAATTTATTATTGATTTAGATACTGCATTTGTGTTGCAAAAAATTTATCAATACAAGTAGACGATGAAGCAGTGATGTGAGTTGGTTCCAAGAAAAGAATGATCACTTGATTTTACTTTAACTTTAAAACTTTTAAACAAATTAATGAGTCTTACAGAAGTAGAACAGTTTTCCAACAGGTTTACATAGGGCGCACTATAAGTTTTCGGAACAGGCCACTTACATAAACAATACTTAAAAAGTAATTACAACATTTGAAAATGGAACTCTTTGCCTGTACAATACAGTTTGTTTCATCTGCTGTCACTTATTTTTACATTGTAGAGTCATTTTAGAAATTGGTTGTCTACATCACCGTGAAAATTTTCGTAGTATGATTTTCTACGATGTAAAGTATAATGTAACAGCTCAGCGGAGCTTCGCTCGGTTTCAAGTTGCTTTTGGCAACGAAGCACCATGCAAGACGACTATTTATAGCTGGTTTGCAGAATTCATACGCGGTCGTGTGAATCTCAAATTCAAATTCAACATAATCTTTATTTCATAGATTAGCATTATTACACTTGAAATCTTCACAATGGTTAAACTCTATCGCTCATTCGTAAGGCAGATTCCCTGAGAAGAATGAGCAAGAAACTCTAAGGGTTGCTCTTTGTAAATAATATTTGTACACATTCAACATTTACAATATTTTTTTTTTATTTGAAACATCAGAGATCGAGACTACCTCCATAAGCGAAACGGGTTACTACCACGGATTTTTGTCATCCAACTACGCAGAAGTTGTATAATAAGTTATTATACTATTATACTAATATTATTATTATTAATAACCTTTAGTATAAAGTTTTTATTTCACTATAGTTTTAAACCTCGTGATAGGCAAATTTTGTATATCAACCGGTATCTTGTTATAGAAGCGTATACATTGCCCCTTAAATGATTTTTTGACTTTGTGAAGCCGACTATCAAGAAAAGCTAGTTTATTTTTATTTCTCGTATTATGTTATGTCTGTCACTATTTTTCATAAAGAAATTACTACTATTCCTTTTAACGTAAATTACATTTTCATAAATGTACTGTGAGACTAGTGTAAAAATGTTAATTTCCTTAAACTTATATCTCAAAGATACTTTGGGGCCCAGATTGTAAATTGCCCTAACTGCACGTTTCTGCAGGACAAGATTCTATTGATATCGGCGGCATTACCACAAAGCAAACTTCTCAGTCTCAGTGACGAATTTCGTAATGGTCCGTCTACTGCTGTGAACAACAAAAACATGGATGCTGTGCGCCGCATGATCAAAACTGACAGGCATGTGACATACCATGAGATTTGGGTATCTTTAGGTATAGGCATGAGTCAAATACAACCAATACTACACAAACATTTGGGTGTGGAAAAGCTGTGCTCTCGGTGGATTCCACACAATTTGACTGAGGCTCAAAAAACAAATCGCGGCACTTGGTGCAATGCCATGCTTACCAGATTCAACGAAGGACCGTCAAACTTGGTGTGGGACATAGTCCGACATAGTAACAGGTGACGAAACATGGATTTATAGTTACGATCCCAAAACAAAGCAGCAATCGAGCGTGTGGGTCTTTCGAAATGAATCGAAACCAACCAAAGTGGCGCGCGTTCAAAGTGCCTCTAAGCGGATGATTGCTTCTTTTTTTAATAAAACTGGACACGTGGCTGCTGTTGGTTTGGAGAATCGTTGTGCCGTGAATAGTGATTGGTACACGACCGTTTGCTTGCCGGAAGTTATTGACAAATAACCGTAAATATAAATATCAATTTATATATCATCTTGCACCACGATTATGCCAGTTCTCACACGGTCAGAAAGACAAATGAATTTTTGAAGGTGAACGACGTTGACCTTATGAACCATCCCGCGTACAGTCCCGACCTGGCCTTGTGACTTATTTATTTCCAAAAATTAAGAACCAGTCAACGGCGGCCAACGATTTTCATCATCTGAAGGGGCTGTCAAAGAGTATGAAAAATATGTTTCAGAGATTGTCACGGAGGAGTGGCATAAATGTTTTCAAAATTGGCTTATTCATATGAAAAAGTGCATTAACGCTAACGGAGAATATTTTGAGAAACAATAAATTCATTTCTGATCATTTATAGTATTTTATTCTTATTCATTCCGGAAACTTATAGTGCGCCCAACGTACGTTGAAATCTCCACAGACTAATATGGTTTTGTTGATTGGTAAAATCTGTTTTAAACTATCTTCCATGATTAATTCAAACTCCTTGGAATTAGTAGAGGGGGGCTGTATACACATAGGAGGACAAACTGATCCAATTCCACACATGAAAACTCAATAGTCCGTTCAATAGAGAGATCTGTGATATCCTTATGCTCTTTAAATTTTACATTACGCTTAATAATAATTATTGATTCGCCTTTACTTAAGTTCTTTCTTATGAATGAGCTAACTATTATACAATTTTCCACGTTTTTAATTGCTTCGTAGTTTTTCAACCAGTGTTCTGTTACACAAAACACGTCAACGGAAATATCGTTTAAAAAAAGACTGAATTTCTAATGTTTTGCCAGGAAAGCTTTGAATGTTTTGATGAACTACAAATGAAAACGATTAGACTTTTCTGTTGTCGTGTTTTCTAGTTTAAATGTTGGTTAGTAACAAGTATACTTATTGCATAAATATTATATTGTACAAATATTGTTATGCAAATATGGAATCGCGCGTCGACGCTTGGTTAAAGTCGGGCGGTTACACGCGTTCGCCGTGCGTTAACTGCAACGCAGTGACGCGTCAGACGCCGACCACACAGGCAACGCGCCCCATGCGCGCGTCGCCATGCGTTGTGGTTGAAAAAGATAGTTGAAAAACGCGACGCGACGCTTCGACTCTGCGCCAGTGTGAGTTGAGCGTAATACACGAGCGTCTTTCTTTATCCTATGATTTTTTTTTCCAGTATACCACGAGGGACACTTATCATAATGTCAAATCAAGATGCATCTCTGAAAGAAAGTAACTTTGACGACGCGACTAAATTCAACCCCGACAGATGGTTAAAGTCTGACGCCAAAGAATACCATGCGTTTGCTTCTATTCCATTCGGCTTTGGTGCCAGAAAATGTTTAGGCCAGGGCATTGCCGAAACTATGATGACTATGCTAACTGCTAGGGTAAGTCCAACATTTTTATACACAAAACTGACAAGGATTACATAGGTTTTAGTGCAAATAAATTATTACTTCTTGAGTAACAATTCATGTGAAACTGTGGTTTTACGTTTAAAGATAAAATGTTTTGATTTTAGTACCTATTGCTTATAAGTCCTACCGCAAAATAGTTCATTTATTAGAGGTTTATGTTTTTATTTAAGTTTAATGAAAAACATTAATAGTAATATCCTTAGAGCATATAAGTATCTTGTATAAGTCAGCCGTGACCATGGGACTTGTGAAGAACTGGAAACATATTGGTTTGTATGAAAGAAAAATCCAGGACAAATAAAATTAGATTAATTTTCAATTCATAGCAAAAATGTTTATTTTTGTATAATGCAATGTAGTTTACATTAAAACCTGACAATTTATATTTCTAAGAAATAACTACAGCATAATAGTTCTCTCGCTTGAAAGGGCTTTAATTTTGAGTATTACTATAGTACTTTTAGAGTCGTATTCCAGAACTGTACTCAATGCTCAAGTCAGGATTTGAGCAGACTTGAGTATGATTTCAAGCACTGGAAATACGACCCTAATTGCAAAGTAATGAGTATGATTTTCAGTGCTCACTGCAATACTCAAGTCCTGACTTGAGTATTAAGTAGAGTTCTGAAATACGACCCTTAAACTCTTTGAATCTTAATTTTTAACCAATTTCAGTAAGGAGGGGGTTCTCTATTAAACTGTATATTTTGTATGTTATGCAATTACTCCGGCATTATGTACCGATTTTGATGATTCTCTTTTAACTGGAAAAGGTCGGCTTCTTTCTATAAATAAGTTATAATTGATTCATCACTCCATATTATTGACTGCCATTGGTTGTCCGTCCACTTGTGTAAAAGACCTTTTCTGTAACGCAGTTGGTAATGTTTTCTCCTGTGCTGTGACATCTATGTATATCACACATTGAAGTCGCTGTTGCAAGTTGATTGCAATATCATTTTTGTTGTATCTTGCAATAGGATAATCAAATTTTCCAGCTCAAGGACAGCACAGTGGTTTGGTTTAAAATTTTTCTTTCGAACCCAGTTTTCTGCAGCAATGAAAATCGCACCTTCTTCTTAGCTTACCATTGACAAGGACAAATAATTTTCTTTTTGTTATTTTAATTTTTATATTTATCCTAAAATAGTATCACCTGTGTGAATTGACTGTAATATACACTGTTACAATACGAGAATGTTTATAGCTATGTAACCTACATAGTTATAAACATATAACATGGTACCGCTTGTATTAATAATGTATAAAATATGTATAAATAGATGTTCTACTAAAACCTTGGTATATCTTTTTATTCAGAATCATTACCACTTAAAAAATATTAACAATGTTTCTGCTAAAATGTACTAAACAATACTAAACATGTCTGAGTTATGGCTCATGGACAGCAAACTAAAAATTTCTGTACTCGTTTATTTCAGACACTGCAAAAGTGGATTATCTTTTTATCCAGAATCATTACCACTTAAAAAATATTAACAAAATTTCTGCTAAAATGTACTAAACTAAATAATAAAAAATTCTGAGTTTTGGCTCATGGATGGCAAACTAAAAACTTCTGTACTCATTTATTTCAGACACTGCAAAAGTTCAAGCTTGAATACCACTATGGGGACATCACACCCACGCGTAATTTCATCGTGAAACCTAACAAACCAATGAAAATACGATTTATTGATAGAATTTACAATTAAAAAAGGTGTAATAAAAATTTTACAAATTTATAAGGCACACATCTCAATTAGTACATTAATGTTACTTTTGTTGTGCAAAAGGTCAGGTTTATTACCAAAGCCACTATCTACATTCCCATTTCAAGTTTCTAAAAATTTCCTTCACCATTTGCATGAAAAGACCATGTTTCTAATCTAATTTCTAGTGGATCATATGTAGTTGTTGTGTTGTTCAATTTTTAATATTGTTAATGTTGTTTGTTAGTTTTTTAAGAAGTTTTAATGTGTCTTAAAAGAATAGTAGAGGAGTATAATATTCCGCATTGTGTAAACATTAAATAAATCCTAAAGGCTTTTATTAGGATTAACAAATTAATAGCACAATAGTACAACTTAATTCCTAGGCACAATGTAAACTTGTTTCTTAACTATTATTAATATAATGTAGTATTATATTGTGTTGCTTAGTTGTTCAGAATTATTGGAAGTATTGATTTAAAAATATTGTAGTGCAACTGTAAAATTTGCACTATCAATTGAAAAAATGTTTTTTTCTTGTGCTGTATTTTTGGTCATGTCCCTAAAATTATAAAGATTGTAAGTGCAATTATTGTAAAATTTTCACTACCTCTAACCAAAAATACAGCATAAGAAAACAATCATTCCAAAATGGTTGTTTTCTTATGCTGTATTTTTGGTTAGATATTTGTAAAATAATCAAAACATTATTTTAAAAAGTGTTTATTTGCTATAGTAAGAAAGTCAAATTGCTTGTGTAATAAATTTTAGGGAAAACAATGAGCTTTATTTGTAAATACATGATATTAAGTTTCATAGTCCAGAGGCAGGTTACAGCATAAATTAAATCTGTACTGTTAGCAATTTATCACTTACCTAACTTAACAACATGAAACTATACTACATTCATCAACATACTACCGCGGTGGTCTCCTCTGAAATATATTTAAATATTTTCCTCTAGTCATTTCCTTTGCTTCTTCAAGGCCTAGCTGGTATGCTAGATCATGAAGTTTCTTCACTTCCATTATCAGGCCACTGGTTGAAAGTAGACCTAATTCTGTAACATGTAAGAAAAGATTATTTTAGGACAGCAAACTGGTCAACTTTGAACAGAAATTAAATCCTCCAGGGGATCGTAGCAGGAGGTTGAAATGGACGGAGGAAAACAATTCACATATAGTTATGATTATGATATTATAGTGTATTTGTACATAAGCTAGAATATAATTCAGCCTTTGGTAAAATTGTTACTATCAACTTTGAACAGAAAAAAATTATTCATGTGTGATGTGTGCTACATAGTATACATAATCAGTGAGTACATTTGTACACATGCTAGAATATCTTCAGCCTTTAGTAAAATTGGTACCATGAGAGATGTTGTTACGCTATCTCAACAGTTTTTTGTATTTAGTGACTGTGGAGATATGTTGCCCAATGAAACCATCCCAGTTTCTCCTACATGTCTGATGAGTGCCGTTTAAAACGTGTGGAGCAGGTGTTTACTCTTTCTGCGAATATCTTCTTTGCAGATCTAGAGTAGAGTTTTTTTGGAGTGGAGAATATCCTATTATGATGCTGTCCCATGTCCTAATTTTTCATTTCAATTATTCACAAGCACGTCTCTTATTGAGAGAAGACAGGGCAGCTTATGTAAGTTTACTACCCTTTTGAGAATGTACCATGTTTGAAATCTCTTCCTTTAGTCAAAATTTCAGCTGTCTGAAAAGCTGTGGGCCAATATGGGTTCCAATTTCTGGACTGAAGTCCAAAGCCATAAACAGTTTTGTTGGAAGAGTTTATATGTAAGCCACTAATTTGCAATTGATGACATGGTAAAACTGACATATTAAAACTCTAGTGTGTTATGAAAAATATAGCAGTGTTGAGTGAATTAATTTGGATGATTTCAACATACCATTCTTTATGGAGCTCAATTTAATGGTGGGAATACTCACTATGCATGTAACTGTAGTCCTCTTTGGTAAGTACTCTGTTCCATGAAGGCGGAGATTGATTGGTATTGTGCATCGGCGCGAACTCCGACACTCCGGGTACTGCAAACGAATCATTTGAACACTGGGACACTTCATCAGGAATATTAACAGCCTCTTCACCCATTGGAATTAAAAGTTTAAAACCGAAACGGTTATAACCGAAACGCCAAACAAAATCACGCAATGGAGGACGTAATGACAACTTGAAGAATGGAACGCAAAAAGCGCGGTTTTTGAAATTATGCTTTACGACTCTATTTGGCATTAGGTTAGAAAATTATTAGTTGACCCACAAACTCACTTTGTTCAGGCCATAGCTCTGGAGATGCACGATCAAGCTTTTCCAAGCTAAGCAAACTTTCTTCTAAGGATGTCAGGGGAATATCGTCAGATGTTGTTTGTCCTACAAAACAATAAATACTCTAAAATTCTGACATAATTATATGAACACCTGCAAATTCACTTTGCACTTACAAAATACTTCGGGCACAGATCGAAAATGATTAAAAATGGTACCATATCAGTATAATTGAACAATTTTTACCTTCCTGAACAGAAGAATTCTGTTTCGCGGCCATTTTCCAATTTGTGACATTTGTGAAACTAAAGACTATAAAGATAGAATAATGTCAAGACACTCCATAGCCTAGATATTTATTTTTCCTATTAACCAAAACCTCCCACACACTTAAAGCTTTTTATTATGGTAAGAAATTTAAGGATATTATGGCAGCACCATAAAAACATACCTCTCTCTTTCTTCCGGTTGCCAACACAAGGCAAGGTAGGTCTATGAGCAAGCCGCATGGGTTTTCTAATTTATTTTGAAGTGCAATTGTTAAAATAAGTACAACAATAGTGATTTGTGATATTTAAGGTGAATCTTACATTATTTGACCCAATTGTTTCTAAAACTTGAGGGATCACGCTCTCGACGGAGCTCGGAAGACGGACTGTCATATGATTTTTTAGTGCAAATATCCTCAAAACGTGTGATATTATTATTTTGTAGTGTCGAAACGAGAGAAATTATTAAAATCCTTTCTTCAGTTGTGACAGAATTGTAGTTTTCGTACTAGGACATCGGCATTGTAACATAACCTAACTTTGACTTGTTTGAATTAACAAAAATATGGTTATGCGTTTCTATCGTGATCATTGTTGAAAAAATTAATATACATATTAATAACGTTTTTGGTCTTGAGATTTATTTCTAGAGTCGCCAGTTCCCTACTGTATGACTATTGAGTTACGTTTTTCCATTGGTTAATGATTTTCTTTCCCGTTTTCAGATGCGTTCCGTTACATTGAAGGATGTCGAACAAGATAAGGTGGTCAAATTTGTGGCTGCCCACTTGAAGAAGTAAGTATCGAAATTGATAATTAAAAAAATATCATTTAAAGGTTTTTATACAAATTACAATTTAGTTTTCACCTACCCAGTTCTGAATTTATGTGCAACTTTATATTCAATTAAAAGCAAATTAATAATGTTATCTAAGTAAGTTACAATAGTAAAGGTTTACATTTAGAACAATAATGTAATTTTGTCCCTGTGGCAGATAACTGTCTTGTATCTTGTACTTAATACCTTTGTAACACTTACATCTTTTGTAGAACTGGCAAAGTCAAGGTGCCAGAACACATGGACCTGGTCAAGACTGGTCGTTTCAAGGAGCTGGCTCCATATGACCCAGATTGGTTCTATGTGCGGTGTGCTGCTGTGCTTCGGCATATATACATCCGTTCCCCTGTTGGAGTCAAGACTGTCACTAAGATCTTTGGTGGTCGTAAACGTAATGGTGTCACACCCTCACATTTCTGCAGGTAATTATTTTTATGAGAAGCGTGCAAAATGTTTGTTTTTCATGTAACTTGATTGAAGGAATAGGCTTTCTAGTCCCATAACCATTGACTTACAAATAAATGGACGACTGGTCTAATACAAAAACCACGAAAAAAATATCCCAAGTCAACCTATTCGAAATTTAAATTGTAATGTCATCGCAGTATCGCGCTGTCAGTCGAACAAATGAAGACTAAAGCGGAGTTTGGCGCTCTCTATACGATTTTAGCGCCTTAGAAGTGCGGACACTTTTTAGCGCGGACCCGACGTCCATATAATTGTAAGTCAATGCCCATAACATAAAAATTGGATCTCAATCCATTTACAATTAAGAGAAACATCCTTAACCCTTCCACGCATCCAAAAGACACAGATTGCATTTTGGTAATAAAAATTTAAAACATTATAAATTTCAAGCTTTAAAAATGGTGGATGAAACATAACTGGATTCACCATTTAGCTCTAGTAAATGTTGGCAGAGGCACCATGTGTGTCATGGGATGCATAACCAGGGCTCCATCATTAGAGATTACACAATAAGTACCTACCGCTTGAATGTATCGCCAACTGCAAGCACTCAGGGTCATATTCTAGAACTCTACTCAATGCTCAAGTCGGGATTGCAATTGAAACACAATCACTGGAAATACGACCTTAATGGCAGGGGCTTGAGTATGATTTCGAGTGCTCTAAACCATACTCAAATCCTGACTTGAGCATTGAGTAGAGTTCTAGAATACGACCCTCAGACAAGTATTTTATTTATATTACACTCCTTGTACAATCCCAGCATTTGGTTCTGCACGACTGCACATGGTGGGTAACATTATTTTCACCTCTCTGAGCATATGTTTAGGTTCCCTTTTCTTTGTAGTGAGTACCTGGTGTCATCCGTAGGCTATTATAGCAAAAGTATTTTCAATTTTATATGAGAGTGAAGTAACTGTTACATAGTAACTATTAATTAATCTGTGCATGTGAATAACTTTTAGTCACAATTTGCTAAAAAGAAAGGTAGTCCATATAAAAAATTAACTACAGTAAGCAAAAATACTTCTGAAAATTATTCACATTGACATCATCAATGTGATCATTAAGTTGTGTAACGTAATGGGTCAGTTTCTGCAACTTGCCATTGTAGCGCGTGTTTTCAATTTGATCACTTGCGTTTACACCATTGATTGCAGAGGATAATGCATCTGTAAAGTTACAGTTACCTTTTATGGGAAAGGTAGAAGATATGTTTTGCTTGTTGACGCTGCTCATAAACGTACCTCATGTATGATATCATACTCGTATTTAAATACAAACACAATTTAGATTTTATTTGATGTCATTTGTTTGTATTTTATATAAATTCCTTGAATCCTGCGTAATAGTATTAGATATTGTATGTGTCCTTTGCAGATCATCAGGCAGTATTGCACGCAAAGCTCTTCAAGCTCTCGAAGCACTGAAGCTGGTAGAGAAGGTCCCTGACGGTGGCCGCATTCTTACGACTCAGGGTCGCCGTGACCTTGACAGAATCGCTGCTCAGGTTCGCCTCAAGGCCAAGCAGGCAGCCAAGCAGCAAGTCATCGTTCTGTAATTTATAAATAAAAAGTACATAAACATTGTTGTTTTAATGAATATGAAAATAAATAAAAAGTAAATATAAATATATCATTATGAATCTGAATGTGCAAAGTACTCATGTACCTTGAAGGCCACTGTGCTATAACTAGACATAAGTTTTTGGTCTGGTCGAGACGTAGATCTAGGCTTATTGGCTCCTCACTCTGTTTCAGTTTGAAAACTGTTAAAAACATCAACATTGCATATAACATTATACAGATTGATTACACACAAGGAAACAGTTTTTTTTTCTCCAATAATTCGTACCTGTATGGGTGCTTTTCCACCTAGCGAGACGAGACGGGAATTGAAAAAATTGCCTCTTAACTATCGCGGGCTCGAAATTACACGAGCTCGCGTTGAGGTAGTGGGAAGTAAAATAAAAATATTGAAATACCAGTAGAGTAAATTGTTTGGTAAAAAAACATTTGACAGTTGGGATATCCATTTTTCATTGTGTGTACGATTTTTCTACGTAAATGCATATCAATGAAAATAATTGAATATCTGATATTTTCTAAATCAAGGAGCGAGTAATTCTAAAATTGTGACCAGAACTGACTAATTCACGACATTTTGGGTGCAATCGGATCTAATCCAGGAGCTGTAGTTCTCTAGATTCAAGAATTCTGACGCCGGAATAAACTTATGTTAGTGTGGATAGTAAAACACCTTAATAATTTCAAAACGGCGTAACTACTAAATCTAATTTTTTTACGACTAGAACCCGCTAAATCACGACTTTTTTAGTGTAGTTAGGTCTAAGCAAGGTGTTGTGGTTCTCGAGATTGAGAAATGGTACCGCTGGAATAAGCTTACCCAGCGTGAACAGTAAAACACCCTTATAACTTTTGAACGGCAGACCGACTAAATCTAGTTTTATGCGAATAGAACCGCTTAAATACTTAGCGACTTTTTATCTAGCTAGTTAAACCAAAACTCCACCATGGTCACGCTGGAATGATGGTAACACTCAACAAGAACATCACAAACTAAGAACATATCGCACTGATTCGCCCTGGGCCTTTTGGAGGGAAAAGTGTCGTTTTTATTTTGACTTTCAATTATTTTCTGAAATCTAGTTTAACTTTAAAGTGAAATAGGATAGTGCTATTGTGCCTTAATCGAAGATTAAAACGCGAAATTATACGAATCTCGAACTAAAATACCCGTATCGGCCCGTTTTAAGGAATCCCGAGTCAATCCAAGCACGCCGTCTCAAATTGCCTATTCTCTTTGTGGTGGCCATATTTACAGAAATATAATTAAACGTTTATGTTTTCGGCTGAAGGACTTTGTTTCCATGGCCAGCAATAATTTAAAAAAAACATATCGCACTGTTAATACAATAGTGTATTAACTCAAAAACATGAAATTACTTTTTCAGAATCGATGAAAAACGAATTACTCACTTCCCGCAAAAAATTATTAAAATTTATATGTTATACTTTATTATAGACACATAAACATTTTCTCAAATGTATTTTTAAAATAAAATGGAAAAAGTAATTTCATGTTTTTTAATTAGGATTATTTTGGCCAGAACTAGCTCACATAAAGTGTGTCTCTTTTTGAGTTAAGTAGATATTTTTTGATTGTTTCTTACAATATTCTAACAACGGTTTTTTTGACGTGTACAGAATCAAATTTTACGTTCAGAAATGATATACTATTAAATTTCACATATTTTAAGTTACAACACTATTGTAATAGCAGTGCGATATGTCAAAAGTACGTTTAGGCGGGAAGTCGAACTGAGCGGCAAATTTAATTTTTCCTCTCGAGTTTAATTTCAATTTTTAGAACTACAAATTGACATATTTTGAAGATGGGTCCTCACCTTAGTGGGGAGGATCCAGCAGAAAAGGAAATATACTGATGTATCCAACAGCGACTCCGGTCAACAGGAAAATGATAACTACAAAATGTATAACAAGCCTAATTACAAAAGATTATTTCATGGAAAACAATACAGGAGTATTTACCGTATATGTCGAATCTACCGAACAAGACAAAATAGGAAACAAAAACCCCTTGACGTTGACTAAACTTTTCACAGAAAATGTTAAAGGAATAACTGGCATGCACAGAGCAAATGCTCACAAAATCGGAGTTGCTTTCAAAAAAAGCATAGATGGAAGACTTTTTAAACAAACACAAAATGAAAGCATTTGTGTCATCATAATTAACTGACTGAAAGAATTGGTGTACTTAAGTACGTACCAAAAGATATGTCAAATGAAGACATATACAAAAATATTGTTTGCGACGCAGAGGTTATCTGAATAAAAACATTTATGAAAAAGACGATCAACTTGCTCACACCTTTGACCACTGTAGCTTGTTACCTTTGCAACAACAACCCTGCCTTAATTTGCCTATACACAATTATTTCGCTATCAGATTCAGCAGCATATACCACCTGTCCTATAATGTTTTAAGTGCTTAAAGTTCAACCATTCAGCGAAAGTATGTAGAAACAACCAGTAGTGCTCCTCTTGTGCTGGGCATCACTCCTATGAGGAGTGCGATGTCGATGAAATTGTATGCATCAACTGCAGCGGTAACCACTTGGCAATCTCCAGGGACTGCCCCATAAAAAACTGAAAATGGAAGAAAATAAGAGAAAGTACGGTCTATAAAGCTATGCCACTGTGGTGAGTTCGCCCCCAGCAGTAGCCAACATTAAAGCTTATCCACCCCTGAACAATGTAAATAAGACTTATGACAAATTTGACGTTAATCAAATAGCTAACAATTAAATTATTATTAATGCTATTGTGAAATCCTTAGTAGCTTTAGGCAATAAAAGTGATCAAACTCCCTTGACCACAAAGAAAATAAAAGAAATATTTATATCTAACTTAATTTAATTATTTACACATAGTACAGTATAATATACAGAGTTTACAGAGCAAAAAAACACAATTACAAAAGTTGCTTTTAGATGAACAAATTGATATTTGTTTGCTTAATGAAACCTGACTGAATGATAAATCTAATATTCCCAACTTTCTAAATTATAATTTTCATTACAAACATTCTGAAAACAAACACAATGGTGTTGGTATTTGACATATAATCTCCTTTGTGCTTCCTAAATTATCAGTATGTGTTGT